TATGTGCGTTCATAATTTCTTTCCCCTGTACATATGCAAATGTGTAGTGGTGGTGATCTGTCATTTTTGAGTATGTATGTATGTATGTGCCAAAATCAAATGCATACTACAAACGAACGTACAATATTTGTGTAATTTTTGTGTCCTTCTAGGAACTTATTTCAATTGCATTATGTTTATGGTGGCCTCATCAGTTGTGTCAACCATACTTATCCTCAATTATCATCATAGAAATCCAGATACGCATGAAATGAGTGAATGGGTAATAATATTTATGCAATCAATTCAGAAACAGAAAACAATTTTTTTCATTTACATTTATTTCTTAATTATTTTTTTTAACATTTATATATTTACAAAAAAAAAAAAAAAAAAAAATAGTGCTAAATACCACATAATACTACTTTGAGTAGTATGTAGTAGTAAAAACATAAATATATACATACATACTATGCACTCTCACACGCACACGCGCACACACGCATACAAACATATTACACGCTAAATATTTGCTCAAAACTCACTCACTTTGAGCGTTCGTACGTACGAGCGAATAGAATTTACTCTGTCTCCAATTAAATTAATGACAAAAAAACAATACTTTCTTTCGCAAAATTTAAAAAAAAAATACACCTTTAATTCTTGCTTGAATGCTTAGTTTTGTGCACTTTGCTTAGTGACAGTGCGCAGCCGAAGTTACGTATACGCAGTGCTGTCACTTTTATGTGTACTAGGGAAAATTGTTAAAACAACGCGAGTTGCAAATACATAAAATGAAAAGACTTATTTTTAATCATTTTTTTTTTGTTAAAACCAATACGAAGTACAATATTTTTTCTGAAATTTGCTTCGATGACTGCATGCGCAAGAAAATTGTAAAAATAAAACATAAACATAAACGTGCCTGCGACACACACACGTACACGCACGAATACACATTAGGGCGGGTCGAAAACAAACAAAATGTTTGATACGAAAGTTTTATAGGTGTTATTTTATTCCCTTTTTGTTGAAAAGAAGTCCTGCGGAATACCAATTTTTCAAATTTTTACAATGACTTGTGTATATAAAATCCGGCTGTTATTTCCTATCATAAAATCATAAAAAAATAATCTGGGCAAATCAGCAATATTTTAATCAATCAATCTCTATTTCCTACTTAATTTTTTAATAATATATTGACGTAACTTAATTTTTGTTTTGTCCAGTTTATTTTTCTATGACTTTATGAAAAGAAATAAGTTCCAAATTTGATCCACAGAAGTCGTTCTAAACATTTTAAAAATTGGTATTCCAACTATTTTCACCAATTTTTCAAGCTCATTCCTAAGACTGAACCTATTGTCGCAGAGAACGAGAATTTCTTTTCAAGATTACGCGATTAAAATATCACCTGTTAAGACCTATAAAATTTTCGTATCAAACATTTTATGTTTTTCGACCCGCCCTAATACACATAAGCCGCGAGTTCTAATTAAAAATATGTTTGTAATGCTTTCATTGCAACTTTTAAGCTTTAAAGAGAAAAAAATAATATAAACAAAAATAAAATAAATTGCAATGAAGTTTTCAATGCATTCACTATGTTACTCACATCAGCTTCTAACGATATTTTCTTTATTTTGGCTTGTAACTACTTAAGCTTCTACATGCATATGTAAAAATATTTACATACATACATTTATGCAAATATAATTTTGTAAAAAAAAAGAAATCAAATAATAATTTTTATTAACTATTTCAATGCATTTTCGACGTTTTCGTCGACAACAACGCTGCTTCCGGGGCAATGCCGCTGCGACTGTTGCTGCTCCAACGGCTATTTCGCTTGGTGTCAACTACTCACTATCGCTATCTCGCTCTTACGATCTCTAACACCGCGCCTCTCTCTCTCTCTCCATACATTTATGTATTTATCCTTGTCTATCTCTGTATTAACTACATTCCTAAAAATGTCTGCCCGATTGTGCATTTTATCGGTGCATTTTTCCTTTGAGTATGTTCGAAATTATTTGCAAAAACCACAACAACAAAATGGAAAACACGTCTTCTACAACAACAACACAAAACATATGTGGATGCATTTTAAACTGCGCTGCGTGCGACAACAATAACCATTTGCGCGCGTGGTAACACTCAAAACAAATTAAATAAACAATCTCGGGTGCTGCCAATCCAATAACAATAACAACCACAACAACAACAAAATAAAATATGGATCGACTCTACAACTAAAACTAAAAAAAAAACAAAAATAAAAAAAAATACGAACCAAAAAAACTAACTGTACTAAACCATCAATACCCACACACTACTCTCTCCCTCTCTCTTCTGCTGTCGCGTTCACTCACACACTCTCGCTGTCCACCGATCGATCACTTGTACACCGCTCCCAGATAAGAGTAATATTCCTTTATTGGTTACCTTGCATACTGCGAATGCAAAGGCCCGGACAAGTCGGTTACGAATGCCCACCGCCGCCGTCGTCATCGAGTTCATCCACCGCCGGCGATAAGAAGCATCAATTGCAGAATGTCGAACTGAAGGAAAGGTAAATTTTATTCGAATAATA